GCCTCGGCCTCCCAAAGTGCTGGGATTACAGGCTTGAGCCACCGCGCCCGGCCCTTATTGCATTCTTACCAAACCAAAGTTATGACCTTTCACTCTCGTGGGGAGGCATTCCCTTCCAAGGCAGCTCTTGTTTTTGGGAGCAGTGTCCTTGGAGAGGTGGGCCTCTGTCTGGTAACTGACTCTGATGTTTCCTTGTTAATCCTGCGTTGAACTGTTGGGAAGGTCTTTAACCAGACTGAGGTCTCTCTCACACCAATGCCCATATCTGGGCATGTACCTCCTTGAAATGGAGTTTCAGTGGGTGGGCAGATGGGTTCTAGAGACAACCTTTCTGCCCTGACATGCCACTGCCCTCTCCTTCAGCCACCCCACACACAGTCACACAGCTGCGTGGATGGTGGTTTTCTTTTTACTTTTTTCTTTTCACTTAACAGCTCATTCTGGAGATCCTTCTAATTAGCCTATAAAGAGCATCCTCAACCTTTTAAATGGCTGCAAATTGTTCTATTGTGTGGATGAAGTATAATTTATGTGACCAGTCCTATAATTATAAACCGCCAATTGTTTCTGTCACAAGGGCTGCAGAAATAACCTTGTATTTGCATCATTACACACACACACACACACACACACACACACCCCTCTACAGGATAAATTCTTAGCAGTGGGATTAATTGCTGAATCAAAGCTCACACATTTTTCATTTTTGTTTTTTTGAGAGAGTCTCACTCTGTTGCCCAGGCTAGAGTGCCTGACCATGGCTCACTGAAGCCTTTACCTTCTAGGCTCAAGTGATTCCCCTATTTCAACCTCCTGCATGGCTGGGATACAGGTGTGTGCCATCATGACCAGATAATTTTTTTTTCCTTAGGGACAGGGTCTTGCTACGTTGCCTAGGCAGGACTTAAACTCCTGGGCTCAAGTGATCTTCCTGCCTCAGCCTCCCAAAGTACTGGGATTACAGGCATGAGGCACTGAGCCCAGCCTGCTTTTCATTTTGATATTGTCAAAATGCACTTCTCAAAGGTTGCGCCTTTATTTCCCACGCGCACTGTCTTCCTTGCAGGAGCCAAAGGCTGGACCTCACCTTGACTCCACCCTCTCCCTCACCCCTCCCATCCAATCCATCCAATCCATCCAGTCTGCCATGGAGTCCTTTTGCTCCTCCTCCTATAAGCCCTTGATTTTGTGTCTTCACCTAGCACCTAGGTCACCTTCTCCTGACTGGACTCCTGCTCGTGCAGGTCTGCTAGCTAGTCTCACTGCCCCTGTCTTGTACTTTCAAATCCACCCAAAAGGCATGATGTTCCCCTGCTGAAAATCCTTCAGTGGCTCCCCACTGCCTTTGGATAATTCCAAATCCCATTATGTGTTAATTAGGATTAGGCTCAGCTGTAATATAGAAACAGTCACTTAACAACAGCTAAAATGAAATAGACGGTTATTTATCTCCTGTGTAAAAAACCTGGAGGTCTCTCTGGTTCTGCTGGAGCTCCAGCATCGACCTTGGCCTCGGAAGTACCACATACAACAGAGCAAGAGATGAGGCTGGAGAGCAGTGGTACAAACATGGCTTGATGCGGCCTCAACCTCCCAGGCTCAAGCAATCTTCCCACTCCAGCCTCCTGAATAGCTGGAACTACAGGCATCCACCACCACACTCAGCTAATTTAACAAATTTTTTTGGTAGAGACAGGGTCTCACTATGTTGCCCAAGCTGGTCTCTAACTTTTGGGTTCAAGCGATCTTCCCGCCATGGCCTTCCAAAGTGCTAGGATTACAGGTGTGAGCCACTGCACCTAGCCTTGGTTGTGATTTTATGATTACTCATCTGCCCTCCAAATGGACTGGAAGATCCTGATGGCAAGAATGCTGTCTCACTCACTGCTCTTCCCTAGCACCCAGTGTTAAGTGAATGAACAAGATCATAGCTCTCATCTGTGAATGTACTAGACCCATGGATTACGAGACTAGTTGATCTTCTTTTGTATAATTTTTAGGAACAAGCTGTGTTTTCAAGCAGGTATTTATTTCCTTAAATGTAAATTCCTGATTAGGAAATACTTTTTTTTTTTTTTTTTTTTTT